AATTAAAGCCCAGACAAATTTAGCAAGGGATCTCCAAGGATCGGTTGTACCCAGAGGTACAGTAGTCGCTTCATCTGTACAATGTGACCAAAAAAAAGAAGGAAAAAAAAGACAATATTGTAGTTGCTGGTGAACTTCTAAGCTAAATACAGTAACTCAGTCATGGGCAAAATCATTTCCCATGTTGCTGCTGCAGATAGAGTGTATTGCCAGGCTCTGAAAACTGTCAGTCACAATTCAACAGGCATTGTTCCAGACATGCAGCGGTGGCATCTTTAGGTTCTGTTTGAGCCCAAAGATGACACCAGGTGATTTTATTAGTTCCTCCTCTGTTACTGAAGGTGTGTTAATCAGTGAAATCTGTTGCTGTTGTAGCTCTTCATGTCATAACGGACTACTAAAGGTTCAGTCACTTTAAGTACAGTTTTTATGAAAACTATCAGATGTACTATTCATAAAATAAACTTTTCTGTACATTTCGGATATAGGCTACATTATTTTAACACGGCCTATTGTGTATTCACAGTTTCACAAGAAGACACCAAATACATGTTTACATGTTTGTTTTAAATTTTTCAGAGTCAAATAGCCAAAATAGATATTTTTCACTTTTATGTTAAAAAGAAAAAAAACGATTATCTTCTCAAATAATTACAATCAGTTTGTTTTTTTTATGTTGCATTTCATAAACACGATGTCACTTACTCATACAATGATGATGACTCAAGCTCCAGCTACTGTATCTACCAGTCTGACTGTACTCTGTACAATACCATCTCCATGATAGGTTGATACACCAGAACTGTAATAAAAGTATTTTTTTGGTGTTATATGAGCCAAAATGCCACACAATCACAAAAAGGAAGCTGTAGTTGACTGATATGGATGAAAAGGGATTCAATAATGAAAGAGTATTATAAGACAAAGGAGCAGGCTGTTAGGTTTTGGTTATGGGTCTTTATTGGCCTCCAAGAACCATGTTTAAACAATGACAATAGCAAAAAGAAAACAAATTAAACAAAAAAACTTTTAGGGCTGTCGTCCACTAGCACCTCTTCTACCTGTAGCACATTCAACTGCTGCTTATGTGTTCCTCCCACTCTAACTACATAACAACTGAACACCATTTGAAGAATGTAAGTATTTTGCTTATGAGAGTATATATTTGTCTTTTAGTGGTTTAGTGGTTTCTCACCACAGTCAGATGTCACCACTGTAGAAGTCCCATGTTGTTTACTGCTTACCCAGTGAACTACTGCTGTGCTTTGGCTTCACCCGAGAGGAGTTGTTTAGAAAATGGCTTTCCGAATTTCTGCCGTTAGACGTTACACGCATTGGTCTAAAAACAAATTGGCTGGGAGATGTGTGTTACAGTATGCATAACTTCTAAGGTAGTATAATCACAGTATAACAGGGTGTGACAGGAGACATCTACACCCTGTGATAGACTGGTGACCTGTCCAGGGCTGCCTTTCATCCAATGTTAGCTGGGATTGGCTAAAGTGGTATAACTACTGGATGGATGGAGGAGACATCAAAAGTGGCTAATAATGTAAAACCATTGTCTGAAATTAAGGTCTCCTTGTTTTCTCTCAGAAAGTAAGAGCACCATATATGCAGATGCTTTGTAGACACAATGCCAACCAAATGTATATAATAAGGCTGAATCCAGATCTATTTCAAAACCATATGACATTCATATGAAACTGTTTTGCATTAGTAAAATAAGTTTAGGAAGAAATGAAATGTTCATTGAAAGTCTGAACTGAGCATATGCACAGTCACCTCCATTACTGCCACACCCCTACTTTTCCTTGTTGCTGTAGGAACATCATACCACTACCTGCACTGATTAAACACTTATATTGCAAGTTGGTTAAATATGAACATAATTCTGTTGGAGTCGGATTGCCAGAAGCTATGAGGCATCCATTTCCCTAGATATTAGCGAAGCAGCCTCTGAGAAGAATGTGGAAAAAATGAAATACATTAAGTAAAAAACAAATCTCATCTCTACACTTAGAGGTATCGATGTCAAAAATGATCTGTTTGATCTTACTGCTAAAAACCAAATTAGCATAAATAAAGACATAAACCTTTACTCTTTAGTTACAAACAACTAATAATCCTGGCCTTTCTGTGTAACCCTCTGACAGCTGCAAAGAAGCCAAACATTTATACTTTCAAAACAACTCCTCTAGGGAACTGAGCCAAAATTCAGCAGTAGTGTAGTAAGCAGGCAGTAAGTTGCAGTCCCTCCACAGTGGTTACACATGGTGTAGATTTGTCCTTCTCTCATATCAAATAAAAGCAGCAACACCCCCGAAAAAGAATCTCTCAAAACTAAACTTCTTAATCTATTTTTTTTTTTAGTTGACATCCATACAGTTTTAAAATTATACAACAGGTAGAATAGGTCTCACAGGCTGTAAAGTATAATTAAACTCACAGTTCTAGCATGTTAAGAGTCAAAAGGTTTTTCATCTGAGAACATTGCTACACTTATACCTTAAGCTATTGAACTTGTACCTGTGTGACTCGTCCTTTCACAGCAGTCTCGTTGCTACGTTAGAGTAGGCAAGATGAAGTAATGTGTAATGTGTCCAGAAAATACACTATAGTCGCCATCATTAGTCAAAAATATCTATTGCTTTGGTGGAGGCTGTGCAGCCCATTTAGTTCCCCCATTTGGAGTCAGCTCAGGTCTCTTATCTGTTTATCCAAACTCTCTTTTCTTTCTATCCTCTCTTCTGTCTGTTTTAGACCCAATAACATGGGTTGTGATTTCAATGTGCATTTTTTTAAATTATGTTTCTTGCTCAACAAATGATTGAGAATAGAGATGCTTAGTTTTCGGCAGTAATCCAGATTCTGCCTTCTGATTTCCCTTGGACTTGCCCACTGGTAAACATCCTCACATTTGATTTGGTTTTCTTTCTTGAAGTGGATCTCACTGACTCACCGTCCTTAAGCAATTTTGAGTGTGATACAAAGATGGATTGCCTCCATTTTAACATCTCATTATGGAGGTAAACTGATTCCTACCCTGTACAAAGACAAGAACTCATTCAATACTTCAAACAAAGACAGGAACATCTTTAGAAAAAAGAACCAATAAGAACCAATAATAATCACTTTCACATTGTGGTGGTAGATAGTATTGTGTACCATATTTGCACCATAAAATGTACAAAATATCACCATGTTGTTGGCTAGTGACCTGCAATCTTATTCACAAGCACTTTGAAGCATGTTTATTTATTTACAACATACAGTGTACTCTGAAACAGGAACACATTTATAAATAAATATTGCAGTCTTGACAATCTTACAGTTCTCCTTTTTTTTTTTAATTGTCAGTTCTTCATGACTCGTCACCTGAGCTTAACGAAGGTGAGGCAACCTCTGCCTGTTCCGTCTTCTTCCTTCCTTACTCTCTTACTGTATGTGCTATCATTCACCAGCAGGTCTTTAGCTTTCAGTCTTTGCCCTTGGCCCTTTCTTCCATTCCTCACCCTCTCAAATGTTAATTTAAATAAATAGATCTCTAGAGGAAAAAAAAAGAATCATATATCCTTAAAATCTTAATAAATCTCTGAAATAAAAAGCTACAATTAATATCTTCCCAAATGAGGAAAACAATCATAAGGAAAAACATAATAAAAACATTCTATTTATCAAAAAAGGACAAACAAAAAGGGAAAAAAATATATATAAGAAGAGTTCAGCAGGAACAAACATGTTTCATGAACCCATATCTAAAGAGAGTCGCTCCATTTTCATTTGTATTGTAATGTCATTCAGAATATCCTGTTAGCTCCATGTATATCACTGTAGGTACTCTGGTCTGTGTTGAAGCCTACATGGTTTCTATTTTAAATAATCCTCAGCACTGAGTGTTCCGTCAGGCTTTGCAAAGCCCAAGCAGCCTCCTTTTTATATGAGACATCTCGGTCTGTCCCATTTTAGTTTACAGACAGTATTTCACAGTATTTCACTGCGTACTTTAGTTCACAAAGTTTCTACTGCTGTCCAGTCACAGACACGGAGAAGGGGGCCAGGGGGGGTGATAGGATTGGTTCTGAATACGGGGAGAAAAAGCCTCAAATATGGCTAATGTCCTTTCATGTTTGTAATTGTGCAAGATTAAATGCCTCTGTCTTGGATCCAAGGGAGAAACTGTCTTTTTTGTGACATACCATTTTCCAACTCTTGACACATTCTGTTTGAGGAATTGCCTGAATACAGTGCTGGATGGCAGCTCCTACTGGTCACTGCAAATTGCCTGAATTTGTAGTTGGAGTACTTGGAATATATATGTATATATATATATATATATATATATTTTTTTTTTTACATGTTACATTTTACTTATGAGCAATGCCAAAAGGAGATGGGTCACATAATAGAACAAGAACAGATTGTATCTTTGCTGTGCACCTATTCTTCAGAGACACTGATGATTCAGCAGACTTGGTTGGTTTGCATATTAATACTAGATCTCTAGAATAATCAATCATCAGCCACAGTCAATGTTGGCAATATGATGTAAGTCCTTGCTGTCCTTGTTTAAATGTATAGTGGCTTGAAAATGTTAGTCCAGTAACATACCCTGAATTTACTGTATAGCTCAATGCTTTACTGGAACTCTGAAAATTAACATTCATAACCAATAGTGATTTTATAATTTTTACACTAATATCTTCAGAATAAATAATATAAAATAAACTTGAAATGTTATTTATTTTTTGCTACCATTGATTTCAGTGTGAGCTAGTGATGACAGTTTGCTTCCCATAGCCTAAGAGGAGCAAAATTTAGCCTCCTCTGTTCAATACTCTTGGCCACACTTTGTGTCCCTTTTTCTGGTCTCATATTCCTCCCATTTTCCCTCCCTTCATCCATTGCAAAGGCATTACAGGTGAATTGTACTCATTGTCCATTCTCCCCCGCCTGCACTCATCCTCTGCCCCTCCATTTCTCAGTCTTTTTCCCATCAGTCACAGATTGTCTTGTAGCCTCTCCATGTAGGTTCTGATTTCAGATTGACCCAGGTCCATATCCTGACACACCCACTTGATGTCATCCTCGCTCCCATTGCTCACCAGGACTGAGGAGTTGGTGTACGGGCCACCCCCGCCCGAATTATCATTGGGCAGAACAGTGGCAAAAGACGTAAACTTGACGCGTTTGCGTTTGGCAGCTGCGACTGCAGCGGCGGCCGTGGCTCGGGGGGAATTATTCAGATGCTCCGCTTGGCCGGTGGCATCTTTGCCACCAGTAGTGATTGCTGAAAGGCACTGATGCGGTTCTGGGACAGATCTGGGTAAGGTTTGTCCGTGGGTGATGCCCCGGTGTCCACCTGTGCCACCACTCCCACTAATAGTGCCCATGCCTGTGCCCACGCCCATCACCAAGGTGTTACCGGCCCCGTTCAGCAGGTACTTGTTCTCCTCATATCCTCCTTCATTCCGGTCAATGATGGTGGTGCACTCATCTGGCAGCCCTCCCTGGCATTGGTCAGAGTGGTCGGCTAAAAGGTCAGCTTCGTTTCCAAGCCACACCCAGTCGTGGGCGTGGTTCATGTTGCCACCTGTCTCCAGAACGGGGACTTGCTTGTGACGGTATCTGCAGACAAAGGATGATAATTAGCCTACTACTGAAGAACGATTTTGAGTGTGTGTAATATTAGGCTATAATATTCATAATGGATATCCCTTTATTCACATAGTGGAAAGATGTACAGCATCAATATTTGGTCAAAGCTACATGCAATATATATTTGGACCAAAACTATCAGATTGAACATCCATCCATCCATCCATCCATTTTCTTCCGCTCGTCGCGGGGGGCTGGAGCATATCCCAGCATTTGGTACACAGGCCTTTCAGGGTCACATAATGGTTCACACTATGAAGATTCTCAACCATGGTGAAGGTCTTTTAATTTAACCTAAAAAGACACTTGCTTGCATGCTGAGCTCATATTATACAAATAATAGATTTTTCCAGTGTTTTACCTGAAAGCAAAGCTGACACAGTTGATGAGGAAGACCAGTATTGCCAGACAGAAAACCCCCAGGAGGGCATACATCCCAATCTCCAGATCGGACAGGCCTCTGGTGGTGTGGCTCAGCTCACTGTCCCCGGTCCCTGGTACTTCAACTTGTGCTGGGTAGCTACTGTAATCTCCTGCTTGGCCTGGGCCACTGCCTCGGCTGCTGCTGCTGCCTCCATTGGCAGCTTTACCACCTGAAGCACGATGGGTGACTGTGCTCTTGGTTGTTGTGCTAACCTGGTGAGAGGAAATTGACACATGCACATATTTTGTTTTTATTTATGTAAATGTCATTCTCATTCCATTGAATCACGCAAGAATACGGTGATATTATATGATGATGATGATGTATTGTTTAAGGAAAATATCCCAACAACAACTCTGCACATTCATCCATTCATTCATTGTTTCTTCCCACCTTCCTCATGGCTCCTTCCTCTCGATCCACGGCTGCACTGTTGGACTTCCACTCTCCTCCGTCCTTTGTTCGGTGCTCGCTGGTGCTGTTGTCCATCCCTCCTCCGTCCTCCTGCCCACCTCTTCCCGTCTCCCCTCTTTCCTCGCTCTTTGCTCCAAACTTCACTAACACGTTGCCAACTCCAGATGCCAGCACGCTCTTCCTTTTGGACTTCTGACAGGTCTCAGAAATGACCATCTCTACGCGAACCAGTGGGCCCTGTCCCTCAGCTTCTGCTACCACAATTGGCCAGTGCTGTTCCTAATTGACAGAGACAATGTGAAAACGAACAAACCCATGGGCCTGTGGTTAAGTCATGTTTTGGACAGCATAATCTGCAAATGTCTATTTTATACTTTCTCTAACATTTTCATAGTAAGATTTCTAGCATCCTACAAAACTTTGACTTCACACATCTGATCAAGTAAGGGAAGCTGCCTGTACCTGATTGGTTATGGAGATGACACTCTCATCCAATGAGACAGCTGAGAGGAGGAAGTCCTTGGGATCATAAATATCAAGCGGAGTCACTGAGCCGTCACTGTACTGGATCCATGCACTGATCGCAGCTTCCTGAATGAGACAAAACACCAAAACAAATCAATACAAAGAGATCACTCAAAGGAAACCATCTATACATTTATACTTACGGTCTACATGAAAACCTTTTGTATATACAGTAGGTGATCAAGTACTATTGATCAGTCCCACAGATTTCCTTGTTACATGATTGTCCATGTGATACTTTGACACATCTGCTAGAGTTTAGAGCGATGATCATGATCTGTGAGGGATACCTGTGTCACTGATAAATGTTTACTTGCACAGGGCAGAAAGCAAGCTGAAATGTCACTTTCCCATCCAGATTTATTCCAGTGATCCGGTATTTAAAGCTGCACTAAGTGATATTTTTATATGAACACAGCGTCATATGACTATGACTCATATGACAGCTTTATTTACTACTCTCGCCAGTGTCTCCAGATGCAGGCAGCTGTTCTTAGCAGAAAAGCTCTACTAAACTCTCCAATCTATGCTTCCTGCTCAGCATCAGAAAAAAAACAGACAAAGTTAGCTGCATTTAGGATTTAGTAGTGATTATTTGTCTTAAATTCTTCATTCAACACATTTGCCATAATCACTTTACTGGTTCATAGAGCTTGTCTAAATGACCCCAAGAGACCAAAAACTTCATTAATGCAGGTTTGAGTTTTTGGTTTTTCATACAGAAAGACATAAAATAACCAAAAGGATATTTACATTAATCAGGTTAAAGTACAGATCCCTCCCTGATGGTTTTTAATTTAAATATTCTATTTTCAAACCTGATTTTCTGACAGTATATGAGGAAAAGTTATTTATTGGCCTTAGTAGCTTGACAGTGTGATGTTTATCTTTTTTATTTATTTATTTATTTATTTTATTGATTCAGCTGTATGCATCTTTAACACAATGGAAACAACATTGACCATGTCTTCCAATACAATTAGGTCAAAGACTTAGAAAATAATGTTTTTTTTCCCGTCTTCTTCTAGCAGCAGCTCTTCCATAAATAAAAACAGTTGAGCAGAGAGTGTATTTTTCTCTGCTTGTCTTTAAGTGATCCTGCCTTCACTAATTTCCCTCGATAGAACCCGTTGCTTTCTTTAATCAGAACACAGAAAAGATTGTGTAGGTATAACACAACAAATACCTCCCTACAAACGTAATTAAGCTCCAACGTGAGGAATAACACTTTATCTCTTTCCCTACTTTTATTTTCACATCAAATTCTTATTTTCCCATGCCTCCTACACTCACTTACCCCCTCCCTCCCCTCTTTTTCCTCCAGTCTTCTACTTTTCACCCATTTTTACTCAATTTCGTTCTCCATCTTACTCTCCCTCTTCAAAGCCGCGTCATTTTTCCACAGGTAATGGTGAATGGCGTAGATAATGTTTGAATAAAACGCAGGATCAGATCTATATTTTCATCGTAATGAGCTGCCTCTCGTCCAATTAGCCCTTGGATAGAAATTATAACGTGGGGTATTGTTTGATTAAAAAAAAAGGAAAAGAAAAGGAGGGAGAAGGGAAGCTGGGGGGAAAGAGAGAGTGTGAGGGATAATAGCTTGAGATAGTGTGATAAAATAACCCTTGGCAATGTGATTAGAGAGTCAGGAACAGCTTGTAACATGGTAGTCTCCCAATATAGTATGCATGGTGAGTGTGTATAGTTTCTAGGTGTTTGTATGAGAGTGTTTTTTTGCAGACAGTGGATCCTTATATACTGTGACAGGGAGCAATAGAAAAGATAATTAGAAAAAGGACAATTAAAATAATAATTAAAATGAAATATTGTTATTATATTTAATTGTAATTATAATTCTGTTGGTCATGTATTACACATGTAGTTTCAATTGGGATTTTAATTGAACATTTTCACAAAACTAACTGAAAAATGAATTGCCATTATTTGGCATGAGTTAACAATACATTTGTATTTTTTTTTAATTGGATTGTATTTGAGGCCTGGGCTGTCTTTAAAAAAAAAAAAAACTAAAAGCATACTGTCCTACTGTAGACCTTTAGGTGGTTGTAACTGTAGCCAAGGAGCGCTACAGCCTGGAAGTTACGCACTCCTAATTAGAAACTGATTATGGATGAGATAGCAGCGATATGATGTCCGCAGCACAGAATTACTGTTTAAGATCTATGATTACACCCTTGGGGGTATTACCATAGAGATGGGAACAGCTTAAGATGTAGTCCATCAGTTAGTTTGTGTGTGTGTCTGTGTGTGTGTGTGGTTAAGGTTTGGCCAATTGATTAGGGAATACATTATCTCAATGACAAATCCCCACAAAAATATAGCAATAGCAAATATAGTAAGACTTTGTACGTGTGTGTGGGTGTGTATGTGTGTGTGTGTGTGTGTGTGTGAGAGATACAAACCCAAAGGCAGTGAGGTGTTTATGTATGTTTATCATGTGTCTACATGTGCGAGCTGCATTCTGACAATGTGATAAATAAAACTCTATGATATCTTGCAGAGATGTAAATATTTGGACCTATGTATTTGTGTGTGTGTGTGTGTTTGTGTGTGTACCTATATTATCTCCTACCTGTTTTGGTGTGTGTAGCAGGTCTGTAGCTGTGGTCGTTAGCTGGATAGCCTGGTAATTTCCAGGACTCGCTGTCATACTGAGGGACAGAGATGCAACCAGCTGGACTCCCAGGTCTGTGATAGTGACCTAGACAAACAAGAGAAACTGTAGATCACTCACAGAGGCAGTGAATGAAAAAGTTTGAATTTGACTTATTTGAGCCCGTTCTAGTGGCTAGAAAGGAGAAGGAAGGGATAGTTGTTTAAGAGACGAGGTTTGGATTTATTTGTATGTAAAAAGAACTGAAAGTAAATCATTATCACGGTGGTGTAGAAATATATAATGAAATTTTGATAAACTCTGTGGGGAAATTAGACAATTGAAGCAGTAATAAAGTATAGTGCAGTGGCAAAATTAAAATGAAGGCAAACAATGTTTAGAAAAGACAATTTTAAGACAGTATAAAAGTAAAATCTTAAATGAACCTTAATGGCTGATCTTATAAAAGCTAACAAATCACATTACCTTTCTTATGCCTTGTTATATCACACCATGGCCTTATACTGTACTGCTCAGTTTGAGCTCTGTGGCTTCAGTGTCCACAGGGACTGCCCTAATAAACATGTATTTACTTACTCTTTGAGCCACTGTGGATGTTGTTTCTGCTCATTTTTAGACTATTAAGATCAACACTGTCCCCTCGTATAACCAGCGATGTGCACGATGGGATTTAAGAACACACAATCATAGTAAGTGCCAATAAAATGGACCTACATCCCAAATACATTAAATAAAGCAGTGTAGCTATTCTACCTTGTCATCCAACACGGTCACAGTCTTCTCTGCAAGTATAGAGTCAGACAGCGGGGAAAGAACCTGCAATGAAAGATAAAAAAAAAAACATATATACATGAATAGTTGTGAAATTACATGATGTTCAAATTTAAATGAAGTTGAAAACCTACAGAGGTTTTCACAACCTGAAATTAATCTGCTTTATTAGAGTTGGAGAAGAGTCTACATATGCACAAAAGCAATTTCATCAAAAGGTAAATTCCTAAAAGCTTTCATTAAAAATTTGCACTCTGTGACGGCTGTACATTTCGTGCTCTAACACTCAGTGTCTGGTGGGTCTTTCCAGGGAAAAATCCTACACAACACAGTTGTTTTCAGCAACTGTAAAATCCAAGCATAAAGACATCACATGACTGACAGGCTGTTAGTTTGACAGGTAATGGAACGACAGCTTGTGTCTCAAAATGTTACAAAAAAGCACAAAGTGGAGAAAATTAGCAAGCACAGGTTTAATATAGGAAAGTCTAGGAGAGCGTAAAGGAGAGAAGTGCATGAAAAAAGCTTTTGTTGTCTCAGTGATTATTGCCTTAAGGTGGCAGTGATGTGTTTAACACTGACAGAGGAGCAGTGAGAGCCGGTTAACACCGCAGTGCTTTGGGCCACATAGACTGACAGTATCTGTTAAAGTTATGGAAATACAAAACACACACACACACACACACATACACACACACACACAGGCTCATCGAGTCCGTTTTGTCTTTACTCTGCACAGGATGTTTTTTACCACGTCTTCAACTCACATGGCGATAACTGGTATTTTCTGTGTAAAGAAAATGCTGGTTTGGAAACACTGCTGCTGTCATTTCACATCCCTGACACAATGTAACACACTAAGTAATAGGAGCACACACACACGCACACGCACGCACGCACGCACGCACACACGCACGCACGCAAGCACGCACACACACACACACTAACACACACACACAGTGTTCCCATCTGCCTGCCAGCTGTGCTCCACTGTGTCAACATTCAACTAAGAAAACTTAGCATAAACAAAGCAAAAGGCCAAAACTAAAGAACTTAAAGAGAGTGGATGAAAAGAGAGTGTGTAAGTGAGAAATGGCGAGCGAGCGAGAGAGAAATAAATGGAGTAGGTGTCAGAGAGAGAGAGACAATGACAAATAGAAGAGGACAGAAAGTGACAGGGGGCAGAAAGACGGAGCGCAAAAGAGATTGGGGTACAGATGGAAAGAGGGAGCAGCAGACAGACAGTGATAGAGATTAGGAGCCCTGTGTTGCAGTGTACTACTCCGCCCGGCGACAGGAGGACAGACAGATCTGATTGGTGTACAAAGAAAATCTCTCACTGAACGAATCGGGGCGTCAAACTCAATCCCGCCCTTAGCGAGGTAACAAAATGCAATGATTGACGGCTCTGGGATTGCTCGTCAAGACAGACAGAGAATAAGAGGGCGAGAAAGAGAGACTTGGAGGGAGAAAGGAGAGGGAAAGAGAGAAGGGGAGGAGAGGAAGAGGAAAAGGCAAGACTCGAGGAGACAGAGCTGGGGGGTAAAATTGAAATGTCAAACTATCAAATGACGGCTGTCGACTCTGGCATCTCGATGGAAATGCTGAGTAAATTCTCTCTCCTGGCTCCCAAACAGAGCACAGCTGTCTGTATGCATGCATCTGTGTGTTTGTGTTTGTGTGTGCGAGTGTGTGTCTGTGTCTGTGTCTGTGTATGGGTGCATGCACGCAGCAGTCCCCAGTCAGACGGATGCAAACACACATTCAGCTGTTCCCCGATATCCCCCAGTTGCTGCACTGAACTCAACACCAACCCACTTCTAACACACACACACACACACATACACAAAAACACATTTTACAGAGCAATCATGCAAATGTGAGCACTGAGGATGAAATTTTGAAATTTGATTCTGAATCATAAAAATATATAGTTGGGATATTGTTATATGAAAGATGGGGGTGTAATATCATAGGGCAGAATATAACAAAAACTGCATTGACTATGACTGGGACATATTTAGTGGTTTTGCCTTGGCTCTGCTATATAACGGGATACCAGTAATGTAAGACAGTAAGCCATAGGACTGTCCTCCACTGTCACATTCAGTCACAATGGGCCGGCTTATTGGAATTCAGCAACTGCACGAGTGTGTTCACTGTGTGCCAATGCGAGTGTGTGTCTGTGTGTAATTTCTGAACATCACACTGAGATGTCAGGGCCAAATCCGACAGTTAATTGTGGCTAATTGTGTAACGAGCTGGCAGGCGAGGCTTATAACTGCAAGAGAAGAGGAAGAGAGAGAGGATAATGTTTACATCACTGGAGTGCTTATGGCTGCAACGTGAGTTGGCAAATTATACTGTGCTTCACATAATCATACATTTCCAACCGTCTTTCTCTACACTGGTTGTCCAACAAGTGGTAAATACAGTCGTTTTTGAGTGTTTTGAGAGTGAATCCTTAAAATCCAATTCTGGAATGCTTTGTACTTAGTCAATGTTTCCCACCAGAAAGTGGTCACTCTCCAAACTTTATATTAAAAGTGGAATGAAAGTGGCAAACTCTAACATCACACAATATTTTTTGGATCATTTCATTATATATTTTATGTTTCGTTCTCAGTTTGGGATATGAGGGTGATTTCTAGACTGCTTCAGTGAGGAGAATGGGTTGTTTTGTGGTTTGGGATGTTATTAACAACTAGAATAGTTCAAAATAATGAACAAGAGAACAGACTGGATTACTTGTATAGTCTTGAGAGTAGAACAGAGGGTACGTACCTGTATAGTGGTGATCCCCAAGTCCCGCCCTATCAAAATTCGTCCATCTATCAGTCTGGCAATGCGAGGATCTTCCACCTGTGGAGCACAGAGACAGCTGCCAGTTTCAACTCCAAGTTTGATTATTACATTTATAATATATCTTTTAGGCTTTTGTGCATTTATCTTGGATTAGTACTACAGAAAACTGCTACTTTAAGCTATTATTCAACAGTCAAACATCCGTCCTAACAGGAAAAGTTCAAGAGGCTGTATAGTTCAACACTTAGAGAAAAAAAAATTCTAGCTTACTGATACCGTTAAATATGGAGAAAGAGGCAGGATGTGATTATCTTAGCTGAGCATAAAGACTGGAAGCAGGAGAAACAGCCTGCCAGGTTCTCTCAAAAGTTCAAAAACACACCAACAGCATCTCTAAAACTCAATACACCCAATTAACATGCCTAGTAAATGAACACACTGTATCTCACTTGTATGATCAGTACACAAATTAAAATGTAAAAATAGTGAATGGTTTTAATTGAAGTTATGAGGTGTAACTTTTTCTCAGCAAACAATAGCCAGATGCAGTGATTTAGTCAGGCAACTGGTGGCGATGCTGCACAGAAGTGCTGGATACAAGGAAAAACTGTCATTCATCAAGTAATAGTTATAGCATTTAAACACAAAAACAGTCCCTTAAAAATGTCCCTATTTTTGCACCAATCAAACAAAACAAGATACAAAGTGTTGATTCCTATTTCTGAGAGAGCTAGGTCAGCTTTACCACCCTGCTGCCAGTCTTAATGCTAAGCTAAGCTAATCACCACCTGGCTCTAGATTCATAATGCAAAGACATGAGAATCTAATCACTCTTCTCATCTCACTCTCTCCGAAGACAGCAAATACATGTTTTTTCCTCAAATGTTAAAGTATTCCTTCAATGAAGGGTGTGTGAACATATGTGCGTATTTGTGTATAGCTACCTTTAGCTGGTCCAGGACCAAGTGAGTGATATCAGCTTGCCAGTCTGCACCCAACATGTAAACCATCTCTCCTCCTGGGTCAGAGGGTTCTGCAACAAAATGGGTGAGGACCCGCACCAAGGCATACTGGTACTGAAAGGTCAAGAAAAAGGCAAATTAGATCCTAATTCTTAAACATAACATGGGCTCAAAATCACTTTGATTGTTCATGAAGTAACTAATGGAAAAATAATATACCATAATACTGCACTGTATCTTAAACCAACTAAACTTTACACACTGTAAGTCTCATTTCATTCCCAGTATGTAGTAAGACAGCGCTCACTGTTTTCTGGGATATTGGCATTGGAAAAAAAAGGATAACAGAATACTTTAAAACTGTGATATGAAAAGCAATCACATAATACCTGTAGGGTGCAGCCTTTGCCCTTCTTCTCATCATCCTCATCATCTTCACTGTCTCTGGTAGGTCTGGGAAGACAAGAGGTGAATGAAGAGAAGAGGTAAGTGAGAACGCGAGGGAACAGAGGGTGAGATTACCTGGTAATTAAATGCCACTTGTATACTTTGAAATCAGCTCCAGGTAATTTACAATGTAATCTCTGCTCAAAGTTACACTCTCAGTCAAACCAAAGACACTTCAGTTTTTAATCCATCTGTAACACTTTTAAAACACTGTAGTTGTACAATGTGCTTTTCTTGGAATGCCTGGTTGAAAAAACGATATAACTGGCACTCCATTGTTTGGTACTGGTGACTGCAAGTAAGTTGTGAGTGAGTATACCTAGACTATTGTAACTTCTCTTAGAAACTAATTTCCCTCATAAATGGAGCCCCCAGTTCACATAAACAAGTGTAGATGCTACAGTGGGACTTCTCAAATAGCTACATGTGTAAGGGAAACATACAAATAGATGTTACATAGTACGATCAAAAGACACCACCCAGAGCAAAATGTGTTGTGATATGTGCTGAATATGTTGTATCAACAGTGACGAGCAGCTGTTCTTGACAGATGAACTTTCATAAAAATGATTCAGGACTTACAGGATCTTTATTTCTGCTTTTATATAAGATACAAAAAAAGGAACAGCTTGTGTGAACTTCAGCGTTTCATGACAAAGACAAAAATCCTTATTCCATCCCCTACCCACAGGGGTGCCCCAAGGATCGGTACTGGGACCCCTTGTCTTTGCAATATGCACCACCTCTTTGGGTCCATGGCTTCTCATATTACTGCTATGAAGATGACACCCACCTATACCTGTCGTTCCTGCAAGACAACCCGACAGTCTCTGCATAGATCTCAGCTTGTCTCTCTGACATATCCATATGGATGAAGGGACGCCAACTCAAAGTAAACCTCTCTAAGACTGAAGTCATACTCATCCTGGCCAATTAGTCTCTCCATCACAATAGCAATGTCAAAATCACCTCTTCATCTCTTACCCCAACTGGGCAGAAACAGTTTTCCTGCAGCAATGGTAGTAAATGAAGCCTTGAAAGATAACACAAATAATTCCTACATATGCCCTTAACAATACAGTCTGTACAAAGGCAGTGTTGGAACAAATGGTACACACTCTCTGGTGCATTATCAGGACAATACTGTATTGCTGGAAATAGTACTGTATAGTTCTATCAGAATGGTGAGAAAAAAGCAAAGAAAGACATATTGGTTGGTCAGGGCTTCATCCTACAGCAAGATAATGATGAACACCATTGGAAGAAAAGAACTAGACAGACTATTTTGAAAGAGTTCACTCGAAACCAATCTATAATGTGATTTAAAACTTATTTTGTTACCTGTTTTTTCAAACACACAATAATATGAAAAGCATGTACCTGTTGTAATTCCAGAGCTGAGGAGGCTGAATAATCACCCCCAAAATAAATAAATAAAACAGATCCAAAAATGCTTTGAATGCACTATCAGTGTTAAAACAGAAAACCTCTTTCCCTTGCTCCTAGTTGAGGATCTATCTTTCTTTCTCATACACAGACGCATACAAAGAAACACACATTATTTTTTCTTTGCCTCCCTCTGTGTAATATCTATACAACAACAAATGGAGGCAGGCCCACGCAGGATCATACATTCACGAACACACACACACACAGGACTGCTTCTGTGTCCTATAACTGTCCTGGAGTGTGAAACCCAGGTAATATTACAGGAATTTTTTTTTCCATTTCCTAGTGTCCAAGTAGTGTATGTGTCTGTGTGAGAGTGTGTGCCTAATAGTGCTTGTGTTTCACTCTGTGAGATAGTGGTTAGGGGAGATAGAGGTGTGTGTCTGTGTGTGTGTGTGCATGCCTGTGTTTGTGTCTGTGAGTGCACACTAGTTGGTGGCTATCTGAGCAGAAATTGGCGAAATTGAAAAATAGGCCTAGCAGAACAGAATGGAAGGAAGACGACAAGATGGGGAATAGAAGCAACAAGCACACACACACACACACACACACACACACACACACACACACACACACACAGACAAATGACCATGCATACACACACTGACGCCCACATACTAACACACACACAAATGCACAATCAAACACAGAGGTACAGAAGCATTCAGGCATGCATGCACAGAGAAAAGACATACAGAAAGACCAGTAGGAAAAGGTTTTTTATACCTTAAGAAGGAAAGGGTACATGCATATTTTAGTTGATTTTCAACTGAGTGTGTATGTTACAAGTCAATTCGTGTTGGCTGTTATTAAAACCTGAGCAACAAAAACATATCCCCAATGTGACTTCTCTTGTTAATTTGAGTTCAAGTAGGGAGCTGTGTATCTAAATGAGGCAATGTCCTGCTTTCCATACTCAAGTAAGAGTTTCTCAAATTCTATAAAGATTCTCACTTTTGGTATATGGTGATCACAAATGTTGCCCTTGTAAAAGTTAGACTTTTATCACATGCTTGTCACATGCATGCAACCTAAGCTGCAAACCCTTGAACCCCTAGAAACTGACCTCAATGCCATCACTTGAGAAGATACTGGAGAAATAGGGGCCTTCTGTTGCACAAGGTAAGCAATTCATTGTGTTTAATTCTCAGGCAGTAATGGGCATCTCCATATGCCTAATGGTGTGCGCGAGAAGCTGTCTGTTTGGCACTCATAGTTGTATCATGTGTTTCTATGGTAATTCTTGCAATATCCCACCACTCACTGGGCATATTAGTCAGGAAATGAAAATGCACCTGCTTGTATCCTGATTATTTATTTTCATGTAAATGAAGCCTCTGTTGTACACATTATATGTCCATAGTCATCTAAATTTGTCACTATATACATGTAAATTTGGATCTAGATCTGCATCAAAATATTTTTTTTTATTTAAGTAAGGGCTGCAGTTCATGAGGAAATAGGAACTTTAAGCAGCAACTGTTAAAGGGACCGCTACAGCATGAGGGGATGACGTAGATTCTCTCTTGACACTTCCTACCGTTGCAGCCCAACTGTCTACTACGGTAAACCAGTTGTTCTCCCGTAGTTGACAGTTGGGCTGCAACACTGGGAAGTGTTGAGATAGAATCTATGTCACGCTGTAGCCATCCGTTCCACCGTCGCTACTTAAAAAAACACAGAACAATAGACAAACACTTGCATGCGCATACACACAATAGTATGAATATAAACTGACACTTGCACACCAACATCCTGTAACTGACCCACCCACCTGCATTATTTCACGTTTGAGAGAGTGTGTGTGTGTGTAAGTGACTGAATGCTTCATTCAGTGGCAATGATGCTAAAGCCATAATAGTTGTCATCAGTATAGCCAGGGAGGCCTTGACCTCACAGGAAATTATAGACTTGCCGGAATGATATGTGCTCTCAACTGCTCCATTCCATAAGCACTATATCACACACACACACGCGCACACACACACACACACACACACAGACACACACACATTCAAACTCTGCCTTGCTTCATTCATTTCTTTTCTCTCTCACAGATAGTAGATAGACACGAAATGCTTAAGATTTATCACAAACCAAAATCACATTCAACAGTGACTCAGACACTCTTTCTTTTTTCTTTTTTTTTACCGCCGAAAATTCAGTTCTTTTAGTTGAAGACACAATATGCGGTGAGTGACTGCCTTCTCAAGCAGAAGAAGTGCATGAAGCAAGAGCTGCTTGTTTCTGCTCTAAGCCATACTTTAGCAATGCACAACTAACACGGTTTTCAGAGTACATTATGTTTGGTGTGAGAGGATGAGCTTGTTGTTTGATTGTTTTTGTCAGTAACGTGTGTGTGTTGCTTCAACTACAGCTACATATTTGATATCCAGCTTTGTTGTTGTTTGTTGGCTCATATGATCATATCAAATGTTTCGGAGTTCATAAAAGAGCTATATTTGACATTTCAACATCAATAACAGTATTAATTTTGAATATAATTACTGTAAGTTAACTAAAACAGGTTGAGATCAGCCTGCTCCAAACCACATTTCACCTTGTTTGCCAGCAGAATTCATTTAAACGGAAAGGAACTAATTTCTTTTGCATGTGATACAAAAATTCATTACATTCATTATCTTATTTTACAGTGCTCCGCTCTCTTAGCCTGGAGAATTTGTAAACTACAGCCCGACTGATAAATCTTCCAGGCCGATACATCAGCTGATAATAGTCTATTGGAGATATACAGTATGGTATCAGGGTATATATCAATATATATCGTGTACTCGATATATATATGCTTACACCCTTCACTGTATGTTTCTCTCCCTCATTCCCTCAAGGTCAGACAGATAAATTACCTCTTGTTAGTGATGATTGGGACCCTCCAGCCTTTGACCTGGCTCAGCTCAGTATCTGACACATCTATCTGCAAAGGAAGCTTGGGAACCCAGACGGTGAGCTGCAGCTGAGCAGATAGGTGCAGGTAGGTGAAGTTGACTGCCAAAGACTGCCGGCCACGCATTTCTTTACCGTTCACCAAGACCTGGTCACAGTTTGGGGATACCTGAAGAGTGGAAAAAAAGAGCAAAAAGAGGAGAAAGAGAGAAGCTGGATTGAGTTAAGGACAGCATGCATGCAGAGTCTGACATTTTTAACTGACCTTAAACAGAAATGAATCAGTGATTTCCACAGAAACAGATGCAGCCCATTTTATACATTCCTTAAGCACAGCCTGGAGCCAGTTTTCATCAGAACATTTGTGCTCTTGCAGTAAATAAATATTTTGTTACTGATTGCTTACATTTTTATTCATCTTGTAAGGTACTTTGGAACACTGTTTTGCAAAGTGCCCTATAAAGAAAGGTTAATTATATGCTTCTGCAAATTCTTCCTGCCACATCAGTGGCATTTTGGATTTGTGAATACTCGGGGAGCTCTTGTACCCTCCAACAATCTGAAGCAACGTGTTAAATGTGCAACAAGCAACACCTTAAAGCCAGTAAATCACATTCATTTTAAGACATTAGTATAATTACTTTAACCACATAAGACCACCCACGAGAATACTGGCAACCTTTGCGCTGCATTTTAAACTGTATTCCTGTGGGTCTAAGTGGAGCTCTGTATGAAGACGGCTAAAGAGCAAGAAGAAACATTTTTGTGAGAGAAATTATAAAATAAAATTATAGTCTTACAGTTGACAACACTTGTATTACTAGAGACAGTCTTGTATAAGTAAGAGACAGAAACTAAACCATGGTCTCATTTTTATAGTTATTAATCTGATTATTTTTTCAACACTCTTCTTGGGATGTGTTTATTTTCTTCATCTATCTCTATAAACTCAGCCATGTTGCAGTTAAGACAGAGTCAGAGGTACCTTTAGTTACCTTTAGTTTAGGTACCCTTACTTCGGTCACTAAGGTCTTTTGTGCAACTGTTTAATTGACTTGAAGTATAAGACAAAGATACAGAGAAATCATTAAATACTTTAATTAACATTTTAAGGAAAATTAAGGAGAAGACTTAAGTGCATCTGTTTTTTTACTTTTTATTATTCTTTTATCTTTTTTGAGGGCTTTTTGTGCCTTTAATGGACAGGACAGTAGAGAGACAGGAAATGGGGAGGCAGAGAGAGGGGGAATGACACGCAGGAGAGGGCCGTCCAAAGCGGGAGTTGAACCGGGGGCCAGCTGCAGCGAGGACTGTAGCCTCTATATATGGGGCGCCTGCGTAACCCACTCCGCTACGCGACGCCCCAAGTGCACCTGTTTTGTGCATCTGTTTTTATTTTAAGGAAACCTTAACTCAGACTTCAAGGAAAAGCTTAACTAGAGGTGTTTTGTTCAACCGGCCCCAGATGTTCTACAACACACCGTTTTACAGTTTAACATGAGGCAGCCACAGCTCAGCTGTAATGTTACATTGTTGTATTGGTACTTTCATTTAAGTAAAGGATCTAAATCTTATTCCACCACTGTTTGTCTGTTTGCCCTTCTGATCATCAGTTAGCTATGGTCTAATACATCACGTCTAACTCTGTCATTCCCATCATAAGCCGTACTCTGTTCCTCCTCAGTGAGATAAAACAGTGGATCTTTGCATTTTAAAACACTGTCTAGACAGTGGTTCCTCCAAACTAGAGACAGAGATTCCCAGCGTTCATATGGTGCCTGCTGAGACACAGTTTATCAGATGCAACAAACACTTTTTAAACAATTATTTTCATAATTACTCACTGGCAAATGTCTGAGCATCATAAGTTATGCTAAACACTCCATTCTTATGTTTACCTCTCAGTTTTCAAGACTGTGGAAGATGTTTTTTTTTTAATCAAGCAGACTGAACTTACTTAATCTACTTAAAGAAACCATTACATGTTTTCTGTTACTATGATTATGGAAATGCAAATATCTAGTTTTCTAACAGTAAAAAAATGTATGTCGACACTAGATTATCATGGTTGTATTTCAGAAAGTTGACAGCAGTCTTACAGACAGTGTGACAGGCAGAACAATGAAAAAACCTGGATTTCAGTCAGATTCATTTTCACCCTCCTCACTTGTCTGACTGTGTGACTGATTGAGTTGACGTTTTTTGGACAAATCATCCCACATGTTCCAACAACAATGGATTCATACGAGGAGGAAACTAATCATAGCCCAGTGTGGGCATAATGCGATGGTGGTGGCAACATATGTATGTATACAGTAGTTTATATAATATTAAGTCAGGATTCATGTGTTATACTCCACCTGCCGAGCAACGTTACTACTGATAGTTACTGACGGATGTGATTCTTTTTTCTTATCTTCACAGCCAGTCACCTTTTCCTGGCGTTTATTTAACTTCTCCTCCTTCTCTTTCTTTACCTTATCCTCCCTCCTCCCTCTCTCAGTTTCATTCCCTTTTTATTTCTCACAGCCTCTTTCATCTCTCCACGCTGCACCTACCCTGCACACTTCATTCTTTCTCCCTACCCCTTCCTATTTCACTCTTAGGTTTACATTTAACATGCACGCCCTTTGTCTGACTTCCTGTCTCCTATAGACTCTCACTGCCTGTCTGTCTCACCTCTCAGTGTTTTTCCACCTTCTTTTGCACAACTGCACATTTGCACTCGGTTCAGCCCTTCCTTCCTCTCAGTCTCGCTTCATATTCATTCTATTGCTCTGTTTTTAAATGTATGTACAGTGAGGTCCAAACGTCTAGGGTAGAGGTCCCCAGTTTTTTTCAGCAACATCCTCCTTCATATTGATCCGATCATACACTCACCCCAGACCATCACTGCTCTTGAATTCTTTTTGGAAAATCATTGAATTTCTTGGTTGCTTCTCAAAGCCCTCATTTTCCTAAGAGAAGCATCTAAACCTCATTTATTGATAATTACTGACAGTGCTTTGTTTTTTTTTTGGAACATTAAACCAACCTGGGGGTGCTAACATGCTGTAGTGTGGAAAACAAAAATATGTTGGGTATTTTTGGGGCAGATTTCAGTATTTGTTGCATCATTTTCAAATGTGTAGCACTCAGCTCTGCAATTCTACTCAGCCTTTAGTCTCTTTTATCTCATTGTTTTAGCTCTCTAGCCCGCACGGTTTGTCTAAGGTTCGTTGTAATGCTCTCGAATCCCCTATGAACAGCTGTTTCCAGACCCAGTTTTTTTTCTCAGGATTTAGTGGAATTGAAAACAGAACCGATACTAGAGTGAATATTAGATGAAAAATATGACTCCATTGAGGCGCTCTGGGTCTGCCGGATGTCTAAAGGGTGTTCAAAATGATTTTTCACCTTGTGTTATTTGCACAAATTTGGCCACTGGACCATTTATGTTTATTCACTCCAAACATATATGTATATACAGATATTAACTGTGAAGCTAGCTAGCTAGCCAATGCACTGACCTTGTCTACATCAGTGTGAACTGTGTGAGATCTCAGAACTCACAGTTCTGTTATTTTCTTTCCATCTCTTTTATTTTTGCTTGTGTCTCTGTAAAAATTTGATTTGCGTTCTGTCTGATCGCACACTAAAGGTGAAAATGTTAAATGTTAACACATTTAAACTTTCCTGCTCAACTTGGCAGCTAGCATAAGCTAACATTTTTGGCTGGGTGTTATATAGCCTATGTACTGCATGTAGTACTTCAAGAAGCATGGAAAGAGTGAGAGAACACAATAAAGGACAGTAAAGCAGAGGTTCATCACTCAACAACTTATCTGGTTAGCCACTAAGCGAAAATTTGGATAATAACACGTTGTTGTAATATTGTTGGGCTCGGGCCAGAGCAAGGTCAGGACAGTATTTCTTATTTTCCTAATAAACACACACATCAAAACACAGAACCTCCACACGCTTTGTGTGGTGTGACACTTTTTCTGGCTTCCCTATGAAACCCTTTGATCTCAAAAGAGGTTAACATTTTGTACATCAGAGCTAAACCGTTTCCTCCATCTCCTTTTACCTTTTAATTTCCCTCAGTTTTACTTTCTTCTTTTCGCTTCCGCTCCCCCAACATAAAAGGAAAGGTGCCCAGCCCTTCTCCTCTCTGCTTCCTCTTTTCAATTTCTCTTTTTCTCCTCTGCCTTTAACTTTCTTTACATCTCCCTCAACATCCACCATTCCCCCCTCTTGACCCCCTCTTTTTCTTTTGTCTCCACCCCGCCCTCGCTCCCTCATCGCACAGTCTCCCTCTTCATCTTCCTCTCTCTCTAAAACCTGATTTACCGCTTGTTAACATCAAAGGGATGTTAGACTGTTGGTGCCTCAAACTATTTCTCCAAATCATTTTTATATTCCAGGTGTAAATCAGTGTGAAAACTGCACTTGGTTAGTGTGGCAGGGTTCAGTTTCCAATGAAGGTATAAGACAGCAGAAGTTAGAGGAATGCCCAACGGTTCTGCTTGAACTGCCACTGCAGCCATTGTCCACGTCTGTCATTTTTACCACAGATTACTTCTGCTCTATGGCTGAATGCCCCGTAGGAACATTTTAGAAAAATTAAGTTTTATTTAATTTTGGAAAGTTTGAGGAAATTGTCGTTTCACTTTTCAGTTCAGAAACACTGTTTTGAATTTGCAAAATACTAATTCAAGTCTACTACACAGAGATGAACTCTGAATTACGAAATAAAATCAATGCAGAATAATTGCAGGATAAGTGACTCATGAATTTTACATTAAATACAATAGTAAGTGAATGTTGAAATGTACATACCATATTGTTTCTATCCATTTATTTATTTTTAGAATGATAAATAATGCAAAAATTGTGGCTAAATATTTTCATAGTAGCAATGGATCAAATGACTATGTGTAATTTTAAAGGTTTCATTCAAAGTGACAAACCCACAGATGATTATCACCTGTCTCTGCAGCTCCCATCATCTCTATAGCATTTTAGTATCAGCTCATTGTTTGATTCTACCTCCCATAAAGTTACTGCTTTGGTTTGGTGTCACCGCTCTCATAGCGTTGTTTTTGGCTGCAGCAGTCAGCTGTTCTCACTGAGAAACCCACTACATGCTAGTTCGCCAGCAGCAAATGGCTGACAGCTAATGCTAGC